GAAAAGAGCTCACCAAGTAGGCAATGCTTGCCAGTTCATACACAACTGACTGAGCTCCGAGTTCTACCTCGCTTATTAAACCTGTCGATGTCAGATAAGGGTCAGATTTCAGATTGGTTTCAGCCAGCAGAAATTATTTATCGTGTGGCATCACCTGCGAGGAACCCCCCGATCTCATATGTCCACCACTCAACACATGTCATGATCATGGCAGGGACGGCCAAACGGATGAATGAGCCCCAGTCCAGCAGACACTCTTTACTCCAACCTGAGTAAAGGAACAAAATCCAGTCAGAGATACATATCATACAACATACTCACAAAATCAGACTTTATAAAAATAACTCAAAGTTCTGTTTATTCAGATTAAAACGAATCAGTTGTTTTTAGGTTTGAGGCTCTGAAGTTTACATTTTCAAAGCAACAAACTGGTATATTGCTTTGAATTTACTCAACTCAGTTAAGTGGAACCAGTTGAGATAACATGGTTAAGTAAATCAACATTTCATTTTTTACAGTGCAAGCTTAACATGACTGCTACTGTTGAGGATTGTAGCAGTACTTGTTAGGAGCTGGGGCAAAAGGTCACAATGAGGGTCGTATAAACATCTGGTAAGAACATTCTGTAAAAGGTGAGATCATCAAACAGTCTACAAATAGATTTCATAAGTGTGTATTGGGTGGTCTTAAATTTCCAGCCCAATTCTTGGAAGTGACCACCCTTCCTGGTTATGTAGAATTTGTGTTATGAAAACAGTTTTGGTAAAAAAAAAAAAAAAAAGGGTCTGGTTTCTAAATACGTCAGTTCAGTTGGGATGATTCTGTCGGTTGTATTGATCTGCTGAACTCAATAAAACTCACTCATCGGCTGGCCAAAAGCGACGTCTCCTCATCTTTATTTCATCTTGATAACAGAGAACAATCTGCCCCTTCACTACCATTTTTGCTGAGAGTACTGACAGATTATCTGATAAACTTTTGAATATTGATATTTGGAATTCTGGAATGAAAATTCCAATTCTCACACACCCCTTTGTGTTTTTAGAACCATCTGTGAAAATTTTAAGATAATTAAAATAGGATTGTTTTAGGTAAATACTGGTTTTAACCCCTATTTCATTCCGGTTCCATTTTCTTTTCATTTCTATAACTTCCATATCTATTTTAGCTTTTTGCATCATAGAGGGATAGCACTAAGTGTGTTAATTTTGCACAATGTTTTGTTTTCTAATCCATAAATTGATGCCCATTTATTCCCTGTCCATCCAAACCCAGCTCTTTGATATTTGGAGTATTCCCAACAGTTCAGAATTATTTTTGTTGCTGGGTTTTCTTCTTTGCTGCTTTTCAGTTTAATCCGATAATTAAGAGATAGCTTTATTCTCCTCATTTCTAATGGAGTCTCTCCACTCTCTATCAATAAAGCATTGATGGGAGTGGACTTTACTGCTCCGGTACATGTTCTTAATGCCCTGCATTGTAAACTATCTAGAGTTTTTAGTGTTGTCTTTGCTGCTGAACTGTAAACTATGTATCCATAATCTAAAGTAGATCTCATTAGTGCTCTGTATATATTTAATAATGACTGTTTATCTGCTCCCCAATCATTTCCAGCTATTGCTTTCATTAGATTAATCACTTTCTTACATTTCATTTCTACTTGTTTTATGTGACTTTTCCATGAGTATGAACTATCTAACCATAAATCTAAATATTTGAATTCTGAAACCATTTCTAGAGGTTGGTTATATAATGTTAGCACCACACCTCAAATCAACTCCAGGCGTTTTATCTGCTTAATTGAGAATGACATAATGAAAGGACTGCCCACACCTGTCCATGAAATAGCCTTGGAGTCAATTGTCCAATTACCTTTGGTCCTTTTTAAACCAAGGTGGCACATGTTAAGGAGCTGAAACACCTAAACCCTTCATCTAATTTTAATGTGGATACCCTCAAAGAAAGCTGAATGTCTGGACTTTATGTCAATGTACATTATATAACTATAATTTGAATATGTTTCAGTAAACAGGTAAAAATACAAGATTTGTGTCAGTGTCCAAATATATATATGGACCTGACTGTACATTGTATGTAAATATTCTTTATATATATGTATATAAATATACTTTTTCAAGATCTTGCTTGACTGATTCACTCAGACTTTTCCGTGTCTCTATAATAATATCACTATATGATTATGTTTCCGTAAGCTAATATTAACAAATGAAAGAAACGCAGAGTAACACCTCACCTCCCCAGGTGGCCTTGTGAAGTCCTCTCCACATGATATAACCATAGAGAAATCCAGCCATGGCAAACTGGGAGAAAGTGTTGGCAAAAGCAGAACCTCTGTAAAAATAATAATAATAATAACAAAAAATCAGTATTTTATCAAACAATATTTGCTTTGTGCTGTAGTTCCTGCCATACAAACAATGCTGAGGTCATGTGGAACCTAAANTTGCCAGTTCATACACAACTGACTGAGCTCCGAGTTCTACCTCGCTTATTAAACCTGTCGATGTCAGAGAAAGGTCAGATTTCAGATCGGTTTCAGCCAGCAGAAATTATTTAACATGTGGCATCACCTGCGAGGAACCCCCCGATCTCATATGTCCACCACTCAACACACATCATGATCATGGCAGGGATGGCCAAACGGATAAATGAGCCCCAGTCCAGCAGACACTCTTTACTCCAACCTGAGTAAAGGAACAAAATCCAACATGCTCAGTGCTGTACAATATTATACTTTATAAAAATAACTCAAAGGTCTGTTTCTTCAGATTCAAATGAATCACATTTTTAGGTTTGAGGCTCTGAAGTTTACATTTTCAAATGGAAAATCTTTTCTCAGTTTGGTATCTATTCAGTTGCATAGGAAACTATTCTCTTGTATGGCAACACTTTTTATGATCTAATTTCCATTCGTGCACTCATGTAAAAATTAAAATAAAATAAAAAAATAATCACTTTTCTGACAATATACACATACATCCACACAGTTTTAGTTATAAATCTGAGTTTCCTCCCGAGGTGTCCCATATTTAATCTGTTCCTGTTTTATTGCTTTACTCCTGATACTCTGTTTTGCCCTTTGGTTTCCGCTGATTGCCTACTCATAAGGTTTTCATGTTTACACGTAATTAAAAGTCACTTTACAACTCAGTCTGTGTGTCTGAGTGTCATGGAAAAATGTATTTAATAAGACAGAAACAAATTAGATCAATAAAGGACTTAAAAATTATTTTTGAGGATTTTTTTTTACTGCAAAAGCCACATGGGATCTTACAGTACAGTAAGTGTTCCGTCTGCTATAGTGTGCGATAAGAAACAGAAGTGTTGCAAACTTTCTCACAACATACATCACCTGGATCTGCAAGATAAAACAGTCTGGGAGCGAGGGAGAAAAACAAAAACTGTCTGGAACTTTTGGTTCATGCAAAAGATAACAACTTAATCACACTGTTACCTTTTATAAACTCAAGCTTTTCACATTTTCTCATTCCAAAAGGTTCATTAAATTTTGTCACAACATGAGCTCCTCTATGAAGCCTGTGTAATATATGTATTAATTACAGTACAGTGAACTATATTGCTGATGTGTGACTTATCAGTGAGGCTCCAACTAATGTTTTTTTTAATTGTTTTAATAAACTTTTTTCATTTCTTTAAAAATAACAAAACAAATTTATGTACAATAAAAATTCAAATCACAAATAAGAGGAAAGACGGCAGAAAGAAGAAAAAATCTTACAGTATCTGTGCCTTTTTCTTCCCAAAATTACATTTTTAAACAATAATTATCTACCAACAAGAAAAACTTAACAAAAACAACCTCAAATCCTTGTTGAACAACATTTTGCATGAATACACATTATATTGTTTCATACCTCTTAAACAAAGTGGCTTTTATCATTTTCTTAAACATAAACATTGATCTGGCATTTTTGATATCACTCTCCAGATTATTACATGGTCTTATTTCTTTTCTCTCAACTATAAATAATCAACATTTTAGTGTCTTTTTTAGGCTTGTCTGATTCACTCAGACTTTTCTGTATCACTATAATAATATCACTAAATTATCATATTTTCATATAATATTAGTACAACACATGCTAATAGAGGGAACGCAGAGTAAAGCCTCACCTCCCCAGGTGGCCTTGTGAAGACCTCGCCACATGATGTAACCATAGAGAAATCCAGCCATGGCAAACTGGGAGAAAGTGTTGGCAATAGCAGAACCTCTGTAAAAAAAGTATTTTATCAAACAATATTTGCTTTATGCTGTAGTTCCTGCCATACAAACAATGCTGAGGTCATGTGGAACCTAAAAAGAAAAATAAAAAAGA